CTGTGTCCATGGGTTATGCATATATGCATATAACTTCTTTGGTTAATCTCTTCCCCCCTTCCCCCCCCTCCTCTCTTTCCTCTGAAATATGATCGTCTGTTGCATGTGTCAATGTCTCTGGATCTATTTAGTTTGTCAGATTCTTTTGTTCATTAGCTTCTTCTTAAAGAAGACCCTTCAACATTTCCTGTAGTGCTGGTCTGGTGGTGATGAACTCCTTTAGCTTTTTCTTATCTGTGAAGCTCTTTATCTGACCTTCAATTCTAAATGATAGCTTTGCTGGGTAGAGCAATCTTGGTTGTAGTTCCATGTTTTTCATCACTTTGAATATTTCTTGCCACTCCCTTCTGGCCTGCAAAGTTTCTGTTGAGAAATCAGCTGACAGTCGTATGGGTGCTCCCTTGTAGGTAACTAACTGCTTTTCTCTTGCTGCTTTTAAGATTCTCTCTTTGTCTTTAACCTTTGGCATTTTAATGATGATGTGTCTTGCTGTGGGCCTCTTTGGGTTCCTCTTGTTTGGGACCCTCTGTGCTTCCTGGACTTGTAAGTCTATTTCTTTCCCCAGGTAGGGGAAGTTTTCTGTAATTATTTTTTCAAATAGGTTTTCAATTCCTTGGTCTCTTTCTTCCTCTTCTGGCACCCCAATAATACGAATGTTGGGCCTCTTGAAGTTGTCCCAGAGGCTCCTTATACTATCTTCATATTTCTGGATTCTTTTTTCTTTTTGCTCTTCTGGTTGGGTGTTTTTTGTTTCCTCATGTTCCAAATTGCTGATTTGATTCTCAGCATCCTCTACTCTACTGTTGATTCCCTGTAAATTATTCTTCATTTCAGTTCCTGTAGCCTTCATTTCAAATTGGTACTTTATTATGTTATCGATTTTCTCAGTTATTTCCCTAATAGTCTGCTTAAACATCCTTATAAACAAAATTCTGAACTCTGTATCTGTTAGCTTGCTTGGATCTATTTCATTTAGTTCCTCTTCTAGAGATTTCTTCTGTTCTTTCCTTTGTGACATGTTTCTTTGCCTCCACATTTTGGCTGCTTCCAGGTGTTTGTTTCTATGTATTAGGTAGAGCTGCTATGTCTCCTGGAATTTGTAGACAGGCTTTGTGTAGTAGGTGTCCTGTAGGGTCCAGTGGCTCAGCCTCCCCAGTCACCTGAGCTGGGCCTTCTAGGTGCTCCCCTGTGTGGGCTGTGTGCACTGTCCTGTTGTAGTGGAGCCTTGGTTACTGTCGGCGTCCCTGGGAGGAATTGATCCCCTGTCCAATCGGCTGTGAGGACCAGCTGCAACTACAACCAGAGAGCTGCTGTGCTGGAGACACCCCTGTGGAGCAGGATTTACTTCAGTGGAGCTTTGGTGTTCACCAAGTGCGCCCCTTGAGTGTCACTCTTGGATGTGGTAGGGTTGTAATCCAGGGTGGAAGAGTCTGAGCACCAGGTGCACTGTCTCTGGGGCCTCCAAGGAGGTGCAAAGTCAGCCTGTGCCAGTGCCTTGCCCAGGGACACCCAACATGAGCTACACAGCAAACCGTAGTTGGCTGCTACTTGTGCTGGGCTTGGAGGAGCCCAGGAGAGGCCAAGCGATGAGCCAATGCAGCTGCCGCTAGTGCCAGGCCTGGGGCCAGACTCTTCCAC